TGCTGCATTTCATTTGAACTTATTTCTTCGAATCTCATTAGAGATAAATTTCTCATTCAACTAATTCATTTCCCACTTTGAAGGAAGGCAAAGATACATAAAATATCTTCATAAAAAATATAAAAATACAGAAAAACATAAAACACCAAATGCAGTTAAAACAATTAAAAAACAATTTTTACAATTAAAATTAGAGTTTCTACGCAAAAATAAGCAAATTGGTCAGCGGACAAGAAGGGAGATTTTTCGGTGCACAAAACTGAAAGTTTACTTTTGGGCCCCCTCCCTCGGCAAAAAGACAATGCAGATGCAGAAAGTAACTTAATTCACTATTCTGCTAAGTTTCAAATGTAAACAAATATGGCTGCTATGGCCAACAAAATTAGGCCTTAGTAGCACTTTACTTTTAAATTGCTGATAATTCTACTACTATTGCAAGCAGATTAAAGGCAAAAAAAACCTTAACTTGAATATAGAAACCACATAATTCAATCATTTTAAAGCAAAAAATGCACAATTTACCAACATATAACAATAAAAAAAACTGAGCTTCCGAAGCCGAGTAACAGAGTTGTGAATATTCTTAGTGCTTTCGCTAAAATTAGCTTAGAAACTGAGGTTCCGGTGAAAAAAATATTTTAACATAAGTAAAATAAAGTGCAATGAAAAGTGTAAACATTAAATAAACAATATAATCATTAGATTATTTAGAAATAAAATTCAAATCTAATTGTAAGTAATATGTTGATCAAGGTAAGGCAAACTTTAAACAATAGATTAAAAGTGTGATATAAGACTTAAAATACAAAAACAAAAAAGCGGTAAATGGTAAATTAGCCCAATTCGAATCTCATTACCGACTCTTGAGGTAAAATTTTATTATGATTTTCGAATCCAACTAATTCCATATCGCGTTTCGTCGAAACAGACAATTGATACTGTACATGAAACTCTTCGAATATTAACTGAAAAAACTAAGTCAAAAACTTTAGTCTCAATTCTCTGTTCCATTTCCCGGGGCGTCCGCTTGGAAAAACACATTAAGGTGTAAGAAAAACTATGCATAATGGCCTGGATAGGCAAATGTATAAAATAAAATAAATAGCGATTTGCTATTAATCAAAAATACAAGATTTTTAAGGAGGACCTACTAGCTTATAGGTGTTTAAACTTTGTGAACGTAGTTTATATATATATATAAAATATACTTTTGATTCGGCAGATTGCAACCCGATTGCAACCAAAAATGGAGGTGCACAGCTACATTTTATAGTAGTCCTATATACGTAGCGTATTCGGAAACTAAGTACCGTTTCATTCTAGCGCCGCCGAAGCGCTGTGGTAGGCGTCTCGCGCATGCGCACTAGTCTTTCTTGTTCACTGACTTTCAATTGTCGCCATTTTGGTTGCTGTATGTTGTGTTTCAGTTTGCTGTGCACATTCAAAATGTTTAAGACAATTAGTTCTCCCGCTGACTGTGAGATTTGTGCCGTAATTAAAGTTTTGAACGCGAGGAATGTTAAACCGGCCGAAATTTATCGTCAAGTGACAGAAGTTTACGGTGAATACGCGATAAGTGATGGAATGGTGAGAAAGTGGGTAAGAATGTTTAATGCAGATCGAACAAATGTCCCCGCCGAGGCTCGGAGTGGTCGGCCTTCTGTTGTCACCGATGATTTGGTAAGGAAAGTTGATGAAGCAATTCATGAGAACAGACGCTTCACAATGACAACTCTTTCAGAGGCATTTCCACAAATTTCACGTACTGCTTTGTACGAAATTGTGTCTGACCGCTTGAATTATCGCAAACTGTGTTCCCGATGGGTTCCAAAAATGCTTACTGATGTTTACAAAACAAAGCGACTTAGTAGTGCCTTGACATTTCTCACGCGGTACAGTGATGAGGGAGAAAACTTTTTAAACCAATTTGTGACAGGTGATGAAACTTGGTGACAGACTGAAATTTGTGACAGGTGATGAAACATTTCACACCAGAATTGAAACAACAATCCATGGAGTGGAGACTCACTCATTCTCCGAAAAAACAAAAGTTCAAAGTGACAATGTCATCACAAAAAATCATGTGCACTGTCTTCTGGGATAGGAAAGGCGTTTTGCTTACTGAATTTCTTCCCAGAGGTGAAACCATTCATGCGGCACGATATTGTGAGACTTTAACAAAACTAAGGCGTGACATTCAAAACAAACGAAGAGGAATGCTCAGTAAAGGAATTGTGTTGCTCCATGACAATGCTCGGCCCCATACTGCTGGTGTCACTCAATCGTTAATTCGACAGTTTCATTGGGAGCAGTTCGATCACACGCCGTACAGCCCGGACTTGGCGCCGTCCGACTATCACTTGTTCCTGCACATGAAGCGCGAGCTTGGTGGCAAGCGCTTTGGATCTGACGATGACACAAAAAATGCTGTCGAGTCGTGGTTATCGAAACTGGCGGGAAGTTTCTTTGACGATGGTATAGAAAAACTTTTCACCCGCTGTGACAAGTGTTTGATCATTGTCGGAAACTATGCTGAAAAATAGTTTAAGACATGTATTTTCATGTAAAAATAAAATTGGATTCGAAAAAATTGTTTTACTTTTTTTTTTTTTTTTTCAAAACGGTACTTAGTTTCTGAATACGCCTCGTACAAAATTTCAATGCTCTGAGGCTACTCGTTTTGAGTTATGCGAGATATATATACATACATACCTTCGATACATACGTACATACGTATAGACGTCACGAATAAAACCCTTCTGAATCCATTTTAAACCAAATTTATATTCTGTTTTGGGGGGGGGATCCTTTATTCTGTTCTTACGTACCGATGTCACGCAAGAACATCGTTAAATTGCATTCGAGAGCGGCTGAAATGGATATTTTCGTTGAAATGTGATACCCGGAATTTTCCGTGATTACAATACTTCCTCTACTTCGTACAAGGAAGTAAAAAGAAATTTTACTTTCGTTGAAACTTAATGTCAGATGTATGATCATCGGGTTCGACTACTTATGATTTTAAAAAGCAGTGGGTGAACAAAGCTTAAGCGACAGTATACCGCAACAGCAATCGGAAAATCCATGGTTCGAATAAGCCATCAAAGTTAATTTTCTTACGTTTCTCTCTGCAAAATATCAAAATAAGCTCCAGAACGGTACCTATATTAACACGTAAGATTCTTATGGGTAGTTTCTTTATATATGTGACCAATTGATTTAAATGCTTTTAGAAATGTTCATGAATAAATTGATAGTAAGCTCAAATGCTGTATATGTTTTGTATTTTCCATTTATTACATCTGCTTAACATGGGAGTCACCGTTAGACTCAAAAGCTTCTGCAGTATTTCACTCTGGTGAAGCTTTAAGAGCCAACTTTGAGTTTGAATTACTCTGGAAAGCCTTTGGCTATTATCTATTTAGATTATCTTTACACTGTTTAGTCGTTAGGTTATTTTAAAGCAGGAGATGCGAAAAATAGGCAGTGCCCTCGCAGGAACTCGAATCCTGGACCTTTCGATACGTGCCGAGTGTGCAGCCGTTACACCCCGTAGGCATTATAGAAGGAGGGAGAAAATTCCTTATATATTCCATTCAGTTATGTTTAGCCTTTTTTATATAAATTATAATAATAAAAATGTATTATATGAATTTACCTTTCATCTAAATTAAATCATCAATCTTAGATAGTTATTTACTACCGTCTTTTCCGAAAATACACACTGTCCTTACTTTCATTTTTTGGTCCAAAATAACGCCCTAGGGGCTTATTTTCGGGGAAGGGGCAAAATAAAGTATTTTATATATTTTATTTAATATTTATTTTACACAGAATACAGAAATTTAAATTTATTCATTACATCAATGTCAATCTTCTTCTGAAACATCGTCATAAATAAATTCTGAATATATTCTGATTTGCTTCCAATCCATTTCCTGTTGAATCCATTTTGTCCGAATCTCTCGTGTCTGAGATATAGCTATCGTCGCTGCGTCGTATGTGTCTCGGGGGTTACGGTCAACCCAAATTTCACCCCGATGAGAGTCTGACGCTAACGGATGACGATGCCTCTCTCGGGCAAACGTGAACTGGTTAGAGAAAATTCCAAGAATAAATTTGAAACGAACTGTAGAGGTAACAATTAATTTCTCGGATATTTTGTTTTTCAAACATTTCTCTGAAATACGAGTATTAGGAAAGCTAAACATATTATTACTTAATAAATCAACCGCATTTTTTAACGGATTCTTTTTGTCACATTATTTTAACTAGGGATTATTTTCGGAGGATGTCTATTTTACAAAAGGTTCCGAAAATCACGATAGGGCTTATTTTCGGAGGATGTCTTATTTTCAGAAAAAGACGGTATTATACTTCCTTTCTTGCGTTAGGGTTGCCGCAATTATTTTTGGCAGCACTAGCATCAACAATAGTCTGACGATTTTTTACGGCCCTCGAAACCGAATAGTACCGAAAAAAGAGTTAATGAAAAATATAAAGTTAAACAAGAGGATGAATATTATAAATAATGTTGATATAAATCAGGTACTGACTAATCATGGGCGTTTCCAGAGTTATTTTTATCGGTTCCATCTACAGAATAATGATAAATGATTAATATGTGTTAAGTTTGGGGACCCCAGGCACTTCGTCGATGAATGTACGCTTACCCGGAATACAAGAGATAAATATAGAAAGAATTTTAAGGAAGGTTTTAAAAGGAACTATTAAAATTCGAAAGATTTTGCAGAGACAATAATGAAAATTTTATAAATACGAACAAAGATAGAATTTGGAATTCGGCACTGAGACTCAGATTTTGGACTTTATATGTTTTTTTTTTCTGGCCAATCCCATTTTTTGATCATACGGCCGGCTAGGAGGATCAGGGCTTTGCCTTTATAACGATAATGATAATGATAATCTATTAAACACAATTAAAATAAATTTTGAATCAATTAAAATTTTGTTTCTAATTAAATTTTTATTTTTTCTAGGAGCAGTTTACAACAGTTACGTTCAAGTGAGTCAAATTTAAAAATATAATAACTTTACTGTCTTACTATCCAATGTTTAGAAATATGTATCTCATATGCTTCAAATCTGAGTCATTTATAGAGCTATTTACACTGCATGTTTTACTGTAGAATACATCTATGTATTATATTTCTTTGTTAACAATTCAGATTTAAACAAAAACAAAAAAAACAAACGAAAAAAACTAATAGTGTCTATATTAAAATAAATAGCATTTTCTTTCTAAATTCTTTCTCTTTAATTTTTATACCGCGTAAAAATTTACATTTTTTCATCACACAAAAATTCGTTTGTTTTTAGGTAACTAATTTTTAGTTATATAATTTCAATAACGAAATTATTTTAGAGTATTTTTTAATCATAAGCTTTAAATTTTTATGTATACATATATTTAAAATCAATTACTTTGATTTTCATTTATGCTGTATTTGAAACAAATATGATAATTTCAAAATGTTTTACTGATGCATACGACATATATTTAATACTAACATTACATACATGTGAAAAATGACATGGAATCAGCCCAAATAACGAAGATCTACTCTTACCCTTCGTTATAACTTTAAAGCTATTTAAAAGAGAGAGAGAGATTAAATGAAACTGCCCCGCTGCAAAATGAAACCGAATTTTATGACTTGTTAGTTATTTGGGTTCCTTCAGGAAGGTGGTTAATTTTAGAGGCTAGTAATTTTGATTTAAAAAACGTTGCGATTTAAGTAACAACGTTTAATGCAGAACATCTATTCGTGAGTTAAAATCTAAATCACAAAAAAGTGCTCAACAGATAACAATAAATGATGTATTGTCAGAGTTTTATTACGCAATTTTTATAAGGACCATCTTTTCGATTTTTACTTCAAATAAATCCCTACAAAGTTTTAGGGATTATTATTTATGATGTTGATGTTATTAATCTATTTGAAAAGAAGTAAACATCGAATATCTAGTAATATAATTTACGAAAATATGCATTTCCATTTTTTTTAATTCGCAATTTTTAAAAGCGTGATTTTCTAGGAGGATAGATCTGATGAGTCTGGTTAGTATTGGTCACAGATTGATTTTCAGTTTAAAGCACTGATTTTCAGTGGTATTATCTCGTTTACCGTAGTCACGAGCCGACCTTCGGCCGAACGGTAAAGTCGCTGAACACTGGTATTGCGGTCCAGTGTTCGAATCAAATCCCGGTGAACGGCCTGGCTGAATGTGCATTTTCGTGGTTTTCCCCGTGTATAACGTGTATACGAGTCAGTTTCTCTTAGAAAGTCCTCCACTTAAGCAGACAGCCGTCAATTATTTTGTCATAATCAAATAAACTAAACCCAACTTGCTATTTATGAAGTGAGGCACTTATAAAATAACTACCTTTTTACGCATTATTCCTTAAGCTTCGAAGCATAAAACCATTTTATAACGTTATAAGAAATTAAAACACGCCTGAACTACTGCGTGACCCAAAGTAGGATCGTGATAGGATTGATTTTGGGGTCACGTGATCCACCGGTGGGTCACAGCAACGTTCACGTTTGTGGCCGAATGTACCTCTGGTGGGTCACCTTTTCTGCAGTTCTATGTGATTTCTAGGAATCACTCTGCTCAAACTATTACCATATATAGTATATTTATCCCTCGTAATTACGTACATAAGTTATAAAATTTTGGAAATAATATTTATTTTGTTTTCTTACAAACTGATATTCAAAATACATGAATATTTGCTGCAAAGTTCCGGACCACACAATGTATTATTAAAAAACAAATAAAATTGGTATAAAATACTATGTTGCATTCTATGCATAATAACTCGCAGTTATGTTTTTAAACACATGAATTAAAAATGTATTATACTTAGGTCTGAGATTTCGATTGATCTACAGCAAATGTTATATATATATATTTCGAGAAATTATATTGACTAGAACCAGAATTAGACATGAAGATAAAAACCTATAGATGAACGCCTATCATATGTACATACATATATCTCATAACATATACATGAACTAAATAATATAAATTACACTTTTTAAAATAATAGTTACATACACTCTTTAACAAAAAAAAAATCGACGCACCAAGAAAGTGTAGACCAATGGAAACAATGATTGGTGGATAGGAAGATTATGTACAGAATAGAAAATGATTAAAATTTCAGATTAATTGAATTATTTATTTCAGAGTTACATAGTTACAAAGTAACGAGCTCAATAAGATGTTGACCCAACTCTAGCCTGGATGCAAGCTGTCATACGGCGTGGCATAGACTGATAAAGCTCCCGGATGGTCTTCTGCGGGATTCCTTGTCAAACTTGCTCCAATTGTTGGGCTAGGTCATCAACATTCCCTGGTAGATGCAGTCGCCTTCCCTTTATATCCTAGACATGCTCGATGGGAAAGAGATATGACTATCTGGCTGGCCGAGAGAGTATTTGACAAGCTGTAAGACAGCTCATAGCAACACGTGTCGTATGTGGTCTGGCATTATCTTGCTGAAAAACAGGGCCAGGGTACTGCAAAGGGAACGGTATCAAAACAGGTCTCATATTGTCGTCGACGTACGGTTGGGATCTAAGTGTGTCTCTGATGACGCCAAAGGAGTCCGGCTATTAAGGAAAATTACAACCCAGACCATACGTTGAGGGCCTGTGTGGCGTGCAATAGTGAAAGCAGGATCGGCACGCTGCTCTGGGAGTCTCCAGACACGTCTTCGATGATCATCGCGACACAGTTGGAAGCGGGATTCGTCGCTGAAGCCTACTGGCAGGGGAACGTATATTCCAACCTGATCGAGTCAAGCACCACTGTAATCTGGCTCGACAGTGTGCAGGCGTGAGTGGCAGGTGGCGCAACGGTCGGCACGAGAGTAGATTTCGCTCTACCAGCCGTCTGTGAAAGGTCATGGTGGACACTGTGCGGGTCGCACGTTTGATGGTTGATAGCGATGAATCAGGCGCTGTGACAGCTGATCTGACAATCACTCTGTCCTCCCGATCTGTTGTAGCCCTAGGTTGACCGCTACTGTCATGACGCTGAAATCTGGTATTGTCCACCCATTCTTGCAAGCATCTCCTAATCGCCGCATCGCTTCAACTTTAACTAACCCGCAACGAGCGATTCTCCGATTTGCCAAACCTGCCTCTTTCAGTCCAAGAATACGACCTCTTTCAAACTCTGACAGTCGCTCGTAATGAGCTCGAATCCTGCGACGAGCCATTTCTTCAGTCGTTGAAAGGTACCCTAAATTATAATGGAAGTGAAACTTTTAACAACAGTTCAAGAGCAGCTTCTTATATACATGTGCTGGATGCGCAGTTCCGATGTGCTGGAGATCGCACTATTCATTCAGTGGACACCAAATTTTAATCATTTGGTCAAAATATTTATGCATACGAAGTTTCAAAGCAATCGGATGATGATTCCTTCGTGGTGCGTCGATTGTTTTTGTTATAGAGTGTATTTGCTGATAATGTCATAAATAATGTTTAGTTCGCGATTGAGACAGAAATACGATAATATTTGTCACACATTTAAATATAAGATAGTTTCTTCTTTGGAAATGTTTCGCATTTTTTGGAGTAATTCAGACTAATAAAATTACAGTGGCCAGCTCATGCAATTAAGCCTTATGCGTGTCGGCATAAGCGTATCACGCATAATGCTTATGCGACATGCATAATACTGATCTGTCGGCAAAAGCATTAAGCGTGTCGTGCGTGTTAAGGTCAGTGTATTAAAGTAAAGATAGTTCTCATGAATGGGTATCTTTAATATTAAAACTAAGAAAGAGTAATTTTTAGATTAACGGAAAAATCTATAATTTTTAATACTTTTGGCAATTCTGGTGGTAAATCGTCAAAAGATCATTCAGTGGTTAATCTAAAGGTACAGTGATATGTGAATACAAATGATAATGTTTGAAAACACTTAACAGAACATATATTTAAGATACAATAACACGCCGAACAAGTATTAATTTAGAAGTCAAACAACAAAAATCAGCGTTATATTTTCAAATTTTCACAGGACTAGTTTCGATGGTTTTACCGAACCATCATCCTCAGCTGCAAAAGCGCAAATGAACGAAATAAGATTTAGTGATTGAGGAGTCAAGCTACTGGTGGCATCTGTTGATGAAACCAAAACACAATTTCTTTGTGAAAATTTCAAAATATAACGCTGATTTTTGTTGTTTGACTTATAATTTAATAGAACATATACTTCATTCCAAATCTGCATACTTTAATATTATCAGAATCGTTATGAAATGATTCTATGAAAGAAATGTTTTCAAGAATATAAAATCTAATTCAATGCTCTTGTTACTCGAATTTTTATCAAAAGGTCTCTAACGTTATTTACTTTCTTACTACAGGGACAGCTGTTACCATTTTATGAATCACCGCCTCCAACTTCTTTCTCCTGTGAAGGGAGACCTTATGGTTATTATGCAGATCCAGAAGCAAATTGCCAAGTCTTTCACATCTGTACTGGTGCATTTGGCAACAACAAATTCACCTTCTTGTGTCCCAACCAGACCGTATTCAACCAAGCATATCTGGTCTGTGATTACCCGTGGAATGTTGACTGCTCTACAGCCGATGGACTATATTCTGTTAATGACAATTTCTTTGCACTTGAAGAAAATGATTTTTAAGAACATGTTACCATATTTCTGTGCTGTGGAACTCTCAAATTCAGAGTTAGAACAAGCTAAAACTTAGCCCACTAAGTCATTGAGCCATATAACTTTTATTTCTAAAACTAAACTGAAATCTGATGTATTTAAACGAAAATTTCCAAAAAAAAAAAAAAATAACCAATGCCACACTGCTGTGAGTTTGCAAAATCTGAGGTAACACAGAACTTGCAGGAGTATGATTAAGTGTTCTAAGTTTGCTGACGTGTTCTTAATTTTTAATTAAATATGCTGATGGAATGCTGCTTAGAGATAATTTAAGTGACAGCAAACTTGAGATAACGTAAGCAGGCGATAGATCTATCAGAAAGAGATGACAGTAATATTATCTTTACATCGAAATCAAAAGACATTTTACGTTTATAAATGTAAGAATACTGGATGGTTTAAGTGAATATGAAAGGTTTGAAGAAATTACTCTTTACTCCTAGAAATTACTCCTAAGAAATGACTGTTCGATAACACGTAATATTTGATACATTATTACTTGCTAGCTTGAAGTACTTTGCAAGATAAGTTTCTCTAACGGCTGTTGTGGCGAAACTTTTAAAGAATCCTTTCATATTAATCAAATGCAATAGAAAATTTCTATACAGTAAATTAAATTCGTAAACTCCTGGAATAATTTTACATCCGACAATCAAATCCAGAAATTATTACTTAAAGACTTCACACAAATCTGATCCGGCAGCGAAGTCACCGCATCTTAACAATAATTCACTTATGTGGAATCGCACAATTATATGCAATTACGCAATAAATCGCACAAATGCCAAAAGCTGAAAGTTTTCACCTTCACAAAAATACAAACAAATAGCTAAATAGCATTAGAAATACAGTATGACCGAATGTACTGAATAAGCGCTTAAAAAGTTTCTACCTGTAAAATAACGATAAATAAAAAACGCTCAGTAGTAGACATAATACATAACATCAGTTTTAAATAGTATATATGTTACGGTGAAACACCGAAATCTGGAGAACGTCGACTTTCACCAGTGAATGTCAACATTCACATAGTCTCTTAATGTATGTCCTAAATATTTTCCAAATACTCTTATTTCTGACTTACACCGGTCAATGTCGACATTCACCATGTACTAATGGTGAATGTTGAACATATAACAATATTATATTTTCTTCTCCGTAATTCAGTCGCGAATAAACGCACTTGAAACATGAAATAAGAACTTAAGAACATGAGAACCTAAAACACACAATACATTCAAAATGAGAAAGGAAAATAATAGAAGTTAAAAACTTACTTAATTATACAGTACGTTCTAAATGAGAAAATAAAATAACAGTCATAAAAAACTTACTAAATTATGTGATTCAAATCTTATTTATTGCAGCTACTTAAACTATTATGGCACTTTATGACCTCTCTTTTCGACTTTCACCAGAGCATATCTATGATTGTCGACATACACCGGTGAGAGTGCGAATATACAAGAAATGTAGTGAAATATTCGGTCTTTCACCGACGTATTTGGTGAATGTTGATATTTTCCGGTGAAAGTCGACATTCTCCAATTTCGGTCTTTCACGGTAACATATGTTTGCATATATACAGAGGCAGTTCGCACATTTTTAGACGATTTTCAATACATTTAAATAAATATTTTACCTAAACGTTTTGGGTTTTTAAATGTTCTGTTTGATAACTCTTATACTTCATTATCTTTCAACACAGCAATTTCCGAGAGAATAAAACCTTTTATAGTATCGAAACAGATATTTTATCCCATTTTTCCTGAACAGCTATCCAAAAGCCAAGCGGGGTTGTAGTTCGATGTTTGGTCAATCCGTTCTTTTCAAAGATAAAAATTGAAAACTTTACGGGTGATAGATTTAGTAGGGATGTGACCTTGATACTCGTTTCTGTGAATCTGGACGTGTGGTTGTTTACTTTGTCTTGATGCGGTTCTACTGATTCATGGCACTGTGAGCAAAGAGAAGATATTTTATATTTAAAAATTGGATATAAAATATACTCCTGATAATATTTTTTCTCTCTTTATTTTTAATTTGCCATTATATGAAAAACCAGCCAAAATCAAAAATCCCTTTTAAAATCTTCCTTTAAATTTTTTTGAACCATGTTTTAGATTTTTCTCCTCTTTGGCGATTCTAAATGAGTCTCTTTTTATTGCAGTTTCTTAAGTACATCCAAGATTCATCCACTGTGAGAACATTTTTTTCGTTTTCGTCTGGATAAATGCTTCTCATAAAGAATTCTACAGCAAGTTCTGCGTTCGGGAAGGCGTATTTTCTTTTAATATTAAAGATCTTACCTTTTCAATATTCGAAACATTCTGTTTTTTCCTTGGATATGTATTTGGAACAATGTTTTAACTTGAAGCCCAATTTTGACTTTTTTCCCTTTTTTCTTGACAATATTATTTATCGCAGGTTTCAATATCGAAAAAACATGGCTTTCACACCGTGTTTTAATAATTAGATACGATAATGTTCTTCGGAAAGAGTACAAACATAACCTTTTTATACATTGCTTCTTTAAAAGCGCGATTTTTCATAAAACAAAACTGTCAAGAAGCAGACGATAATTTATACTTTCAAAAATATAGTTGCAGTTAAAAAAAGAATTTGCAAGCAGACAATTTTTTACTAGCAAAGCAAGGTCGTCTAAAAATAGACAACCTCTGTAAATATATATATATATGTGATGTACCAGCTTTCGTCCGGAGTAAATAGAATGGCGAAGAAATATAGATGTAGTCGTAGCTTAAATTATCAGACGATAAATTTAAAAAACGGGATCCATTTATTATTGGTCAGGAGAAATAGCAGTTACAAAAATCATATTTCCGGAGTAAATAAAAAACGAATTACTAATAACTTTTTGTATGAAGTTTACTGCATCGTTACATTAAAGAAAAGACCCCGATATTCCTTTGCGAGTCCTTTTATAGCCTCTGGAAAGGCAGAGCTCCCAAAAAGTGACGTAAGCCTCGTTAGGCATTCCAGTTCGCTTTAAATATCTCCAGAACATTCTATAACTGCACGTGTAGAAAAAAGGCGGGAAAACAACTTGACTTCGGGGCTGTGGATTTTATTCCACGTATTTTCAAATAATAGACCGTCGCCATTAAAAAAATGAAAAGAATATACAGTTAGAATTTTAAGTGTATTCTTGACTATGGAATTTTATTATTACATATATATAAATATATATATAGAGAGAGAGAGAGACTTTACATTTGAAAATACACTCCAGTTAATTTTGAATTTTACGTAATTTTAGTTCAAAATTAAATTTCATGTTGGCATTATATAATTAATATACGATTTTCAAAGAAAAAAGAATCTAGATGCATAAAAGGAAAACCCAGCTATATCCGTTAGTGGTAAAACCGTAAAGCCAAAAAACATTAATTCAAATATCGTAAGAAAAGGGCAAAGAGATATTTAATGCCCAGAGAGAAGAAAACATATTCATAAAATAAAGTGTGAATCTCTTGCTATTTATTCTCATGCATTTAATTTCATGATTTTGTTTCATTTTCTTATTTACTCAATAAATGGTTGTAAGTATTGTTTGCGTCATCTTATAAGTGCTAACAGTGTTTTTGTGCAAAAGTATGTTTGCTTTCATTAACTCCTTTTCTATTGAAAATAAATTCAATATAAAATTGAGTTTTAGTTAAATTATGTGTACTGTACATTGCTTTATTTCAATAATTCAAAATTCTTAATTAAGTAGAAAATAATGAGATTAATTGTATTCACCACTTGCTTGAGGTTTTGTATTATATGTACATCAGCAGTCTAAATGAGTTCTGTGACTCATATGAAACTACAATTTTATATACAAACTGCAGTTGAATGAAAACATTCGTCTTGTATAAAGATTTTATTTTAATCATTGATGTGATATAAAAACATATATGCTTTTAACTGAGTAATAAAAGTACGTCAACATGATAACTTTTAAAAATCTCTTAAATATTCAACAAGCATCTAATTTATAGTATATAGCATGATATTTTATGTATACGCATTTTTTTCTGGTTATACATATCAAACAGTTTAAAAATATTTCTTCGTTAATTTCCTCACCATATTCACAAACATTTAATAAATTGAACAATATGTGAATTAAAGGGGTATTTAACACCATCTGTATTATATTAAATACATAGGTCATATATATATATATATATATATGTTGTCATTTCTTTGAAAATAGGATACCTTAACGAAACTAAATTAACACGGCATTTAAAATAATTAGGATTCTGAACAAGAGGAGAATTTTAAAAAAAGATACGATATGTAGGAAAAATTGATGTAAATTTACTGTAGAGTAAATTAAATATTTAAAATAATTTATTTGAAATAGAATTAATTTCAAAAATGAAAGTTATGAAGGAAATTCAGCAAAACGTTAATATTAGTAAATGCGGCTCAGAAGGAAATGTTGTTAATGACACTGACTGCTGTACCGATGGACCCGGATTTGAATCCCTTAGAAGGAATGGATGTAATTTGTCCGTCCCTTCATAGGAGGCGTCCAACTATTAGCTGCCTCCATAATAAAAACACCACCTCTTCCGCCGTTAGTAGCGGCCAATGCCAATTAATAGCTAGAGCCCGCGATTGGAAATAAAATTAATATTAGTAAATTAGATCTAAAATTTAATAACTCAGAACAAATCCTAAAATCCAAATCGGGTATCAATACAATCTAACTATGGTTTAACCTTACTGTTTTAAAATGAATAAAGTTCATTAAAACTTAAATCATACAGGACATCAAAATTGCAAAAATGATATCATTGTGTATGTTGCAACGACAAACATCATGATAGTAATCTAAAAAAAATATAGTACATTATCTTACTTTACATTAACCTTAAACCATTCAGACGGTATAGTAGTTAGGGAAGCCTACTGTGGTACCAAGGGCTCGGGTTTGAATCCCGGAGAAATGGATGTTTGTAAATGTATAGCTTCTTTGCGGCATGGGGGCGCTCTATGTGGGGAGGCGAAAGTCCTCTGGTGTGGTTTGGTGGTAGGAAAGAGGAGAGGGAGATCCTCCCCGATTCGCTCTCCTTCAAAATTGGGGTGGAAGTAGAAGACCAACCTCCTTGAGGCTGTGGCAGCCACTCTTCCATGAAATACATAGACAAAACAACAACAAAATAAACCTTAAGGGCATTTAAAAAATAATCTAAAAAAGTACAAAGTCCGTAATCCGGACGTTCATTATCCAGAATGATCTATAACCTCAAAGCCACAAACTTACGCATTACGCATGCGCGTAAGGGCATTTAAAAAATAATCTAAAAAAGTACAGTACAAAGTCCGTAATCCGGACGTTCATTATCCGGAATGATCTATAACCTCAAAGCCACAAACTTACGCATTACGCATGCGCGTTTAATGCGCCAGTCGCTACACATGCCAGTAAAGCGTTTACACATGCGCGCTTATGATAGAGAAGAAAGAAAACGAAAAAATTTCGATTGACGAGTTAGTCGATATTCTCGGCGCAGCAATTACAGGACTTGAACAGCGGAACTTTGTAACTGAACAAGAAATTATGTCTGTTTATAGAATTAAAGAGAAAGTATTAGCACATAAAACGAAGCAACTTAAACAACTTACATTGAAAGAAATGTTTAATAAAGTATACAAATAAATATTAAGCTTCTTTTTTTTTAATTTTTATACCCTTTAGATCATAATTGCTCTTTATTTCATAAATTACGGTTTGATATTTTTAATTGTATAATTTCTGCATGCTATCTTACCAAATTTAAATTGATGATCTATAATCCGGAAAATTCCTAATCCGGAATAGCCGAAGTCCCGACGAGTACGGATGACGGACTTTGTACTGTATTATAGCAACTAATTTAAAGTGAAATATTTGCTGCATAAAATAAATACTACATTTGTGCTCACCAGCAGCTGAGCGGTAAAGTCACTGAACACTGGTAATTCGATCTGAGGTTTGAATCCCGCGAACAGGCTGGCTGCATGGGCGTTTTCGTGGTTTTCCTCATGTGCAGCATGTATATGAGCCAGTTTCCATTAGAAAG